GAACACAAAATAAAACTTTGTACAGGAATAGCACACACCAACTTTACAAAATATACACGAGAATTTCTCTGTTATAAGTTTGTGTGCCAAAAACCAAAAAGAACACAATTTTACTCCAATATTTAGCAGAGGTTGGCGGTGAAATGGCTACGTAGAAAGTGTCAAAACAACCTTAGGTAAATAGCCCGTGATGTCTACTTTATATAAATATATACTTTTGTGTGGCAATTTTGTTTTCTTTTATGGCTATTAAGCTTACAAGACAAACATACCAAATTCTAAAATCGCTCCACATTAAAAGTTTATTTTACTCCTTGTGCTTTGTGACCTGTAACTACCAAAAAAAACTTAAAATCCCAGACACATTATATATTCTGTAAATCAGAACAAATAAATAAATTTATTTTTAATTACTTTCCTTAACCTGCACTAATTATGCACACATTATTATTGCAAAAACTGTAAAAAAAACAATATTTTTCATTTTTTTTGCATTTTTCTGTATTTTTTTTATAATAAGTAAGCATTTATATATATATATATATGTTATATCAAATTAAAGCCCTTTCTGTCCTTTAAAAAACAGTATATAATATGTGTCGGTGCAATAAATGAGAGAGATGCAAATTGCAGTTGAACGCAAACAGCAAGAAAATGCAAAAATTGCTTGTGTCATTAAGCGTAAGTCAAGCTTCTGAAGCTGTGTCCTTAAGGGGTTAATTTAATTTGATTGTTTAGTTTGTTTTGGAGGGATCTGGGGTATATATTCTCTTGTCTGCACATTTGTTACATGTTATCTGTCTTGATGGAAGCTCCATGTTAGAGCTGAAACGGTGATAATTTATATGGAATAAATAAAAGCGAAATTTTACTGGTACAACCAAGTCCCAAGAGTGTGATACACCCATATCTACCTTTGTCTTCTTGGAGTAAAGCTACTACAATGTGTATATATGTATAAAGAGAGAGAGAGAGAGAGATGTAAGCGCTTTGTAAATCGGTCCCATAGTAAATTCTAAAGGGTTGTTCTGCACTGTATTTGGCACTATCTGGATTACGGAAACTTTGTTTGGAGATCCAGCTGACACATCTTGACACCACTACTTGTGGAGATATGCCATCTGAAATCTTGTAAGTGCGCATTTGTACTGATAAATTTATAACTATTTATAACTGTTTATGCAATCTGCACTATATATATATATATATATATATATATATATATAGAGTATATAGTATAAATATATAACTTTTTCAATTTATCTGAGTGAACAAGATTAAATATCCAGGAAGAGCTCCATCACTTTACATCGCTACCCTCATTTTCCAGCCCTCTAGTGAGTTCTCTACCACCCATTCCCCCCATTTATTTGTTCCTATGGTATTACACCATATATATTTTTTCTCATTTATAGGTTCTCCAGAATCTTTTATACTATTAATCCATGTTGTATATTTATGTAATTTACCCTTTGGTGTGAGATGGACGTATTTTATTACCTTTGCTATTTTTCTTTTGTTAAACATACATTAGATAAGGTTGATTTAAAGACACATTTTGCACCTTTTATTTTGAGGAAAATAGAAAAGGTTTGTAAAACATAAGACACTGAAAAGATTGAAAGAAAATAAGAGTGTTCAAAACATAAAGAAATGTGTCAAGGAAGTTCAACCTGCAGTCCCATATGCAGATAAACTGTTTGAATTTATAAAGACCCTTCACGATATAATAAAGTGTTATGAGATATTACTTTTGAAAAACCATTTTGTTTTACTATATCCCACTTTCCATCCATCATACTCTGTCCTTTCAACTTCCTCTCACAATCACCACACTTTCTGCTTCCTACATAAGTTCTCTTACACCATTTTTAAAATAACATTGACAACATAATTTTATTGTTCCCTGCCAATGTCCAACCCTCTCAGCTTGCAATCATTTCCTCTTTAACTTCCATCCCTGATGATTTCTGTACTGTTCCTTTATGAGAACATTTTATACAAACCTTTTAACATTGAGTTTACCCTTGACTTCTCACTTATGACTGCTACTCCTCTACCAACTCTATAATGTTTAACAAACTTCTTCCTCCACACTCTTCATCCAGCATCCATTCATTCTTCTTAGCAAAAGTAAAAGAGTAGAACTGAGTGATAAAGACCCACTAATGTAAACCTGGTGGGCGCTAAATAAAGATCAACTTAACCTTTAAAAATAGGGGGACAATATAGATTTTAACACAACCTAGTAGAAATAAGAGAAAAATAATCAATAGTGTAGTAAACCTAAAAAATGGAAATACAAATGTGGTGGGAAATGGATTCACTCGTATGGAGAAGAGCTTAAAAAGGATAGGCCCAGGTCACTCCAACAGTGGTAAATTATGGCAATACCAGGGCCTCTTCTGTGTCCAATGCAGGAGAACTCAAATGGGGAAATGAAGCAGAAAGGAGCACTGCTCCTAGTGTAAAACATTCACACAATGATGCAATAAATGTAAACTATAGGTTACTGCTAACCTTATTTGCAGCCTGAAATATTTGGCTCTCAGTGTGATTGCACATGTTCAAGATTCATTTAAACAATTTTCTTGGCTTTTTCAATTGACAGATTGCTTCCATTAGATTTACAGTTAAATATCCAGCCTTTACTTGCTATTGGCTGGACCTTCTGACATTCAGCAAATCGCATTGCATTTTTTGAGTGGAGTGTATTCATTATGTTCATCAGCTGTATCACATTTGGATCTGAGTTTTGTCACGTCAATTCCAGATTGAGTGTCCCACCATACTCATTTTAGAGGCTCCACCTTGCCTAACTTCAAACGTCTTTAATGTTCACAGTTAAAGTGGTCAAGGTCCTTGCAATCTACACTTGTTTATAGAGTGTATATATTAGAGAGGAAACAAAAGGGAAGGAAACATTAATAGAAACATGTATAATTGGTTAATTTTATAAATGAAATAGTCAGGAATGTTGAGAGAATTTAAGAAACACAAAGTGCACGTAGTCTTTGCCCAGGAAACTCACTTTAGGGAGGGTAACACTCCAAAACTGACCAATCATGTTTACACACACACAAGGCTTTTACGGGAATAACCCCGAGAGCAAGTCTATGGGGACCGCGATACTGTTCCATAAGTCAATCCAATTCCACCACAGGGAAATGATCATGGGTAGGGAAGACGCTACGTGTTTGTGAAAGGGTCAATACTGGGGTAGATATACGGGCTGGCCAACATTTACGCACCTAACTCCAGACATGGGACATTTATACAGCGCACCATTAAACAATTAATGACATTCACAGAGGGCTTTCTGATCCTTGGAGGAGACTTTAATACTGCCCTCGATCCACGGGTTGACACTTCCATGGGCTTGTCGGCAATGCCCGCACAGGTCCTACTGATGATTAGAAAACTTCTACACGTTCACTGCCTGGTGGATTGCTGGCGTGCCTTGCACCCAGATGGCAGGGACTACTCCCATTACTCCATACCCCACGCTAGATACTCCCAACTGGATTACTTCTTTGTTCCACACTACTATCTAACACAGGTACATAGGGCCGACATAGGTGTGATACTGTTGACGATATCTTCTCTCCTACGGGCCACACATTGGCGACTTAATGAAACACTCCTCTCTGACCCACTCCTCCTTAAAGACACGACCACCACCTTGACACAATACTTTACCGAAAATGTGACATCAGAAGTCCCTGCTCCGGTAATATGGGAGGCCCACAAGTGCACCACCAGGTGATTTTTCATAGCCAGGGGCTCATCCATGAAAAATATTAGGGAAAGGGAACTATGCGATCTCACCGATCAAATCCAGGTACTGGAGACAATGCATAAGGCAGACCAAAATCTGTCCACCTTCCAAGAATTGGCTGCCCTGAGGCGAAAATTGGCCTTGCACCTGCACCACCGCCAGCAACGATCCTTGCTCCATTCCAAAGCCTATTTATACATTAACAGCGATAAATGTGGAAAACTACTTGCTCGCATTCTTAATAAACGGAGAAATAAGTCATATATTGGCTGAATAAGGGATACCCAAGGCCGACCGCAGTGGCTACCTGACAAGATAGCCGAATTGGCATGTGGATACTTTGCTACACTGTATTTGAAAACTAACTAAACAAATAGAAAGATGGGAACAAACCCACCTACAAGAGGGCGCTAAACTATACAGGCAAGCAATCAATTACAATGTTAGCATTAAAAAGTATACATTTTTATTCTGCACATTCTGCAGTAAAAGAATGAATAAAATGACTGAATATTACAAAAAGCCACTATACAGCAGTACAATTTCAAGACCTGAGGAAAAAACCCCTATCGAAACATCACTATGCTAACGAGCAGAATAGATAAAATATACAGACCTAGGTCGCGAATCCTAGGTCTAAATAACTACTTGTAGCTAATGTACGATATAAACAGAAAAAGTGAATCTGAAATACGGTCTCTGGATTGCTGGATCCGTAGATCTGGTGGCTCAGGCTCAACGCGTTTCGTCCCGCTTTCTTCGGGACTTTCTCAGGAGCTGTAGATGCTGTCCCATATGTTTGAAAACTACAATAGACAACTCCACACGGAAGGAACAGAGGTTGGAGTCGATCCATTAGTATCTCAGGAACAATAGCCACTCGGAACTACCAACAGAGACGTTGAAGCCTTAGAGGCTCCCCTGACGATGGAGGAACTAGCGGTGGCAGTCAAAGCCACAAAACCAGGCAAAAGCCCAGGCTCATGGTGCGATATTACAAGCAATTTGCAGGCATATTGTTCCCACATTTCCTGGAGGCGTGCAACTCACTCACGCAGGTTCAGAAGATCCCCTCTCAGACGTTGATGGCTGACATCACGTTGATACCCAAGGAGGGCAAGGACTTGGAGCAGTGTGCCAACTACCGGCCAATCTCTTTTCTGAATTGCGACTTGAAATTTTTGCTTAAATCTTGGCCACCATACTGCTACCTTACCTGCCTATGCTGGTAAAACCGGACCAACTGGATCAAGAAGCTAGAGATAACACCAAGAGAATATTGGTACTGATCCATCAGACCCAGAGAACTGGGGAGGATCTTCTGCTGCTATCCACGGATGTGCAGAAGGTCTTCGACAGAGTGAGCTGGGACTTCCTCTTTTGCACACTTCAGTCACTGGGTATGGGTCCTAAGATGTATGCATAGATCAGGGCATTGTATGATATCCCCACGGTGAGGGTCTGCATCAACGGGGCTTTCACTGACCCGTTTGAGATCCACAATGGTATGCCCGCTGCTCTTTGTCCTTGCCCTCAAGCCATTTTTCCGGCCATGAGATGTAATCCCGACATCAAGGGTCTCAAAGTGGGACACACATCACATAAACTGGGCGCGTACGCGGATGACCTGATATTCTTTGTTTCCTTGCCAGAGACAACACTCCCCAATATAATGCAGGAGTTCGATCGCTATGGCAAGATTTCTCATTTCAAGATTAATTGCTCCAAATTGAACATCCTGAACATATCGGTGTCGCCCATGCTTTCGATTTCACTGGGCAGATGAGATCATCAATTATTTGGGAATCTGGCTTACTAATGATCTTCCGCAGTTATATCATGCAAATTTCATGCCTATGCTGAAGAACTTATCCTGGCTGGAGCTTATTACAGTGACAAAAATGAACTTGCTACCACGTATCCTTTACCTGTTTCAAACGCTGCCCATGAACATCCCAAAAGCTTTTTCACGTCTCTCAGGTCACTGATAATTGGATACATATGGAGCTCATGCAAGCCAAGGCTGGTATATCAACTATTGACAAGACTGAAGAAAGATGGTGGGCTGGCAGTGCAAGAATTTCAGTTATACTACCAGGCCTCCCACCTACAGAGAGCGCTGGAGTATCCAAATTATGGAAAGGATGGAATATCCAAGGATGGAGTATCCAAATTATGGAAAGAGATAGAACAAGCCCAGATAGGGGACTCACTGAAGGCATTAATGTGGATGCATTATGAACTGATGTATGAACAACTGAAAAAGTTTATAAATAGCATCCCACAAAATCCTAACTTAGCTAGGATATTGACCCCATTTGAAACTTTAGCGGACGACCCAGCCCCGTTACCACATGCAATATCCTATCTATACTCATTACTACTACAAAAAATAAATCTTCCTCCCCCCCTTACATGGGCAAATGGGAAACCTGGCTATGAGAAACGTTCACAGACCAGCAGTGGGGTAAGATCTGTAATTTGGTACACCACTGTGCACTTGCCAGTAAGACTCAGGAGACGTCTACAAGATTTTATCATTATGGTACAGGAGCCTACAGGCCCTAAGATCTTTAAACCCAACTCTGGGGACAAATGTTGGCGCTCGGTACCAGCACTGGAACGTTCCTGCACATCTGGTGGGAATGCCCTAGGGTAACACCCTTTTGGCAGGCTATTGGTGAAATCTTAAACAAATTCTCTGACAATCTGCCCCCTACCTCTTACACCACACTACGACACCAACAACTGTGTACAAGAAATCCCTGACGATTAGAATATTGAACACTGCAAATCAGGTGTTGCCTCTGTTCTGGAAAAAATACGTACCCCCTCCCTTGACAGTATATGGTTTGATAAGATGGGGGGCAACTGGAGACCTGAGGAACTGATGTTTACAGAGTACAACCACTCCCAGACTTATAGGGACATTTGGACACATTGGCTGACGGTGGTCTACCAGGCTGACTTTCGGAGACTTCTGACGTATAGACCCCAGAAGGGACTTTGGGGGGGTGGGGGGGGGTATAGCAGGGGGGTACACTGGAGGGGAATGCAACTGGGCAGGCACCCACTGCAGGAGTGGGCGCACGTCGGACCCCAATTTCTAGCTTAAATGGCTTAGTGGTTGGAGTGGAGGTGTAAATCCAAGATTAGATTAGGATATATTTTTAACTTTACCTTCCGCACTGACTAAGCTTAGTTACTCTGGGCATACACAAGAAAGGGAATGGCAGCAGAAAGATGTTAAAGGGACACCATAGTCACTAAAACAACTACAGCTTATTGAATTTGTTCTGTGAGTAGAATCATTACCTTCAGGCTTTTTGCTGTAAACACTGTCTTTTCAGAGAAAATTCCGTGTTTACATTACAGCCTAGTGATAACTTCACCGGCCACTCCTCAGATGGCTGTTAGAGATCCTTCCTGGGTCATGGCTGCCTAAAATGCATCCAAACATTCATTGATTCAATTCATCTCTATGAGAAGATGCCGATTGTCCAGGGCTGTGTTTGAATCATGCTGGCTGTGCCCCTGATCTGCCTCCTTGTCAGTCTCAGCCAATTCTATGGGGAAGCATTGTGATTGGATCAGGCCACCACTTCTGTTGATGTCAGAGATCAGAGGAAGTTCACAGGCAGAGGCAGCAGCTTCAGCCTTGAATACAAGTAAGATTTTACTATCTTTAGGGAGGCAAAGGGGGCCAAGGGGGCTAGTTAGTGGTTTATACACTATTGGGTAGGAATACATGTTTGTGTTCCTGACCCTATAGTGCTCCTTTAATTAAGGAAATGGAGAGATAGAGAGAGGAAAGAATAAGAGGCTCTGCTAAAACATGCATGATATTCTGTACCTGGTTTGTGACCTGTAATTGTTCAAAGTATGTGGACCTGCAAGTCTGCTCACCATTTATAACAACGCATTTACTACATAAATCGCTTCAGAGACCTGCGTGTCTTAATGTTTTATAGTATGACTTTACTAGATGATCTATGCAACTGACAAAACCAGAAAAAAATACCAATAAAAAATTTATTTACAAAAAAAATAAAATTGTCAGGAATGGAACATTGTATAGTGGCTACACGTATAACACCTAATCCATATGAAACTATAAAAACAGTATATTAAACAGTAACTTTTTCACTCTGGCAAGTTATTAAGTCTTTGATATGGAAAATATCCATCCTATTGTGAGGATGGTAAAAGCTATTTATTTTTCTTTTTTTGCTTTGAGTAATTTTACAAACCGTGCATACTTTACTACCATGGATTCCTTTTCACTCACTAAGAAAATGTGGTATTGGTTCTTTTAATTTCGTATATTTTTTGTTTTCTGTCTTCTAAATTAACTTTTTGATATGCCTTATTTAATAGCTCTTCTTTATAACCTATTTCTTTAAAATCTTTTTAGATTTTTTTGTTGCTTGTTCCTAAAATGGATTTCTATCTGTACAGTTAAATTTGAAGCAAAATAGTTTGAGCTTTGGGGGTAATAAATAGCCACGGAAAGTAGTGGTAACTGCTCTCTTCAATGTAACTATTGACATCAAGTTTTTGAAAAACATGCTTGCTTTTATCTTGCTAACTGAAATCTTACTTTAATTAGTAGTGAGTTTTATACCCAAGTTATTATAGTTAAGGTGATTTAAAAAGGAGATAAGAAAAAGTTAATTACCTTTCCAAAATAAAAATATGTCATCTACGTTGCAACGTTAGGTCACCTGATTCGCATCCCACCCATGTCCATCATAAATAAATACCTGTTCCCACAAAGACATAAAAATGTTAGCATAGCTAGGGGCAAACCTGGTGCCCATCGCTGTTCCACCAAATTGTAGATACAATTTCTCCCTAAAATAAAAATATCCAATCTATTCCTTCCAAGATAAAATCGATTTGGGTTTGTGAGAACCTTTCTGAGGTCACAAGAAAGTGTCTAGTTGATTTACACCCTTTATTGTAAGTAATTGTGTAAAGAGAATTAACATTAGCCATCACAAGATAAAAAATCTTTCCCCCAATTAATTTCCTTTAAGATTTGCAAAACATTTAATGCATCTTTGATATAGCTAGTGCATGCTTGGACGATGGGCTGTAAACACCTATCGATATACTGTGACAGTTCACTTGAAATCGATCAAATGCCAGAAATTATCGGCCATCACGCAGAGGGCCAAGTAGATCAGCCTCCAAATAAGGTTAGCAGTTACCTATAATTTCTATTGATTGCATCATTATGTGAAGATTTTGCACTAGCAGTGCTGCTCCTCTCTGCTTTATCTCCCTATTTGAGTTATAATATACCAGTGTTGCTGTGACCTGCACCTATCCCTATTGGGTTCTTCTCCATGTGAGTGCATGCATTAACCATCACATATATATATATATATATATATATATATTCATCTCTTTTGGATTTACTACACTATTGTTTATATTTCTCTTATTCCTAGTAGATACTGTTAAGATCCATGTTATCTCCCTATATTTTAAAGGTAAGTTGATATTTATTTAGCACTCCACCAAGTTCACGTGAGTGGGTCTTTATAACTGCCTCTTTTCCTTATTTTGCATGAAGTGAGAGGGTACTAGCACTTGTGTTGTAGCTGCTATAAAATACATATATTCGTAAACACTACATAAGTACCTTTGTTTGCAAAGATAATTTCCTGACTCTTCTTCTTAGCCCTACAATACTCAAACAAACCCATGTCTCACTTACCTCACTACATAGTTACATAGTTACATAGTTACATAGTTACATAGCTGAAAAGAGACTTGCGTCCATCAAGTTCAGCCTTCCTCACATTTGTTTTTTGCTGTTGATCCAAAAGAAGGCAAAAAAAACCAGTTTGAAGCACAATTTTGCAACAAGCTAGGAAAAAAATTCCCTCTTGACCCCAGAATGGCAGTCAGATTTATCCTTGGATCAAGCAGTTATTACCCTACATTGAAAGATTATATCCTTGAATATTCTGTTCTTGCAAGTATGCATCTAGTAGCCGTTTGAACATCTGTATGGACTCTGATAAAACCACTTTTTCAGGCAGAGAATTCCACATCCTGATTGTTCTGACAGTAAAAAAACCTTTTCCTTTGCCTTAGACGAAATCTTCTTTCTTCCAGTCTAAATGCATGGCCTCGTGTCCTATGTAAAGTCCGGTTTGTGAATAGATTTCCACACAATGGTTTGTATTGGCCCCGAATATATTTGTATAATGTTATCATATCCCCTCTCAGGCGACGTTTTTCTAAACTAAATAGGTTTATATTTGTTAACCTTTCTTCATAGCCGATATGTTCCATTCCTTTTATTAATTTTGTAGCCCGCCTCTGCACTTTTTCTAGTGCCATAATATCCTTCTTTAGAACAGGTGCCCAAAATTGCACAGCATATTCAATATGGGTCTTACCAGTGATTTATAAAGAGGCAAAATTATATTCTTGTCCCGAGAATGAATGCCCTTTTTCATGCATGACAATACCTTACTGGCCTTGGCCACTGCTGATTGACATTGCACATTGTTGCATAGTTTGTTGTCTATAACAATTCCCAAGTCCTTTTCATGTGTTGTTATCCCTAATTCGCCTCCATTAAGGGTATACGTTGCTTGTGTATTCTTTACGCCGAAGTGCATAACTTTGCATTTTTCAACATTAAATTTCATCTGCCATTTGAGTGCCCAGTCTCCCAGTCTATCTAAATCCCTCTGCAGCAAAGTAATATCTTGCTCACATTGTATTGTTTTACAAAGTTTTGTGTCATCTGCAAACACTGAAACA